AGAAATAGACTTAAAACTTGATGGAGCCATATCATCGCATAGTTTCTTTAGAAAATCCTTGGAGATAATTGTTTTATTGGCTAAAAAATTTTGTAATATTTTTGGTGAATATTCGTTTAATAATTTATTCAAATTCAAAATTTGCAAAATATGTAAAAAAAACCATACCAAAACCATTAGATTCTTCGTCTTTGTATAAGTATAATAAACGATATAAACCAGGAATACTCTCAACCAAGTCTTTAGATTTGTTTATTTGAGAGTTATTTATAATGTTATCGAATACTGTTGTAATTAGTTGGTTTCTACCGGTTGGAATTATGTTTTTTGATTTATTGTGTTCTTTACTTTTATTGGATAAAGATTCAGTAGCCTGAAACTCGGGAATATTTTCATCGTCTTGTTGGCCGCATTGCTCTTTTCTTAAATGTTCATCCGAAGGCGTTTCCATTCCACTCGTTATTGCAGACGTCGTCGATGGATTGACAAGTATGCTTGAGCCACTTATATCCGCCTGATACTCTTTAAAAATATATGGGTATGGGAAAATAATCGATTATTTATTTTTTTGTAGCATTGTACATACGACAATGTTGGTCATTATGGTCTCATTTTCAATTGAATCGTATCTGAGATATAATGTAAAGAAAAATATCCTTTAAATTGCCCACGACAATTTATAAATTTTGTCGTCCCTGATTATAAACTGCCTGGTTTTTTTTTTTCCTTGTGAAATAAATTTTCCAATTTAATCCACATTTTAAAAATTATCGAATAAAATTCTTACCAGAACTATCGCTATCGTGGACTTGGTTAATATTGTAAATTTGAATGACAATAAGATTACGAAAATATATTAATGTCTTTCCCATTAATTTCTTATATACATACTTTTTGTTTTAACAGGTTTGTTAAGTTACACACAATAGATATTCCTTTTCAAGAAACAAAGACATCCATCTTTAGTTAATCTTTGAAAAACATTATGTCGATCAACATGTAACGAAATTTTAAAAAAGAACGTAAAGATTCGTAAAGTAGAAAAAAAAAGGTAAAAAAAAAAATTCCTTCAATAATCAAAAATTGCATATATAAGTACATATATATTTTAGTGATTGTAGGGATTCGACAATGTATCACTGTTGATTCAAAAGGTCCTTGGATAGGTTTCTTTCGGATAATTTCGTATTCGAATATAACAACAACTTTGTAAATTTTCAAACAAATAAATATGTTGTCAAACGATATGATATTTTGCAATAAGGTCTAAATGCATTACTTTTAAAATGTTGCGCAAGTGGGAATGTTATTCGAATATTCTAATTTTTTTTTTTTTTGAATTTCGAGCAGGTATTCATTATTTCAACAACATGCTAGATTTAACAAGGTTAAAATCAACTGAAATGAAGATCAAATCAAGGTACAGTATTTGCCTTATCATGTATAGACATTTTAATTTTACGGGTTTTATTACACATTCTTAATTCAACGCGTTACATTTAAGTTCAAAGGAATAAATAATAGTTTAAATTGTTGTATAATTAACTTTTCTTTGATCTTAAAAGATTTATGTCACGAAAGAAATGAAAGCTTTCACTACTAATTTTTTTATGTTCATTTAATAATTTTTTTTTTAAAAAAAAAAAATTATTATCTAGTATGATGATACAATTTTTTTTTTATAATATATTAAATAACAATTAATTAAATAACGGCTTTATCTTTTTTTGCAAAGTATTAGTCACATACATTGACATCCATCAGAGTATCGGATATAAATAAAATCTTAAAATATTGAATTTCATTATATATTATATAAACGAATAGAGAGAGACTCACAAACATTTCATTCACCAAATAAAGTAAATGTTGTTCAATAGATTTATGAATTATGCATAACATTTCGATAAATGATCATGTAATTAGAATCAATCTGAATCGTCCAATTATTTGCATATACACCACTGATATATTGTATATCTCAGGAATGAAACTTTTAATATTCAACTAATATTCTTCATTATGGAAATTTTACAACGTTTAGAAAATTCTTGAATCAAATATTACAGTGATTGAATATTTTTTTTTTTGATTTGCGGCTTTTTTTGTTCTCTAGGATCCTCATTCAGGTTTGATCACTTCTGCAAGTATTGGTAACTTTTATTTAGTTTATATGATAATTTTTTTTTTTCGCATTTGAAAACCTCAAGCTAAGCGTGATTTATTTTTCAGCATCTTTTATTTCTTCCTTTACATTTTTACATTAATTACTCTAAATATATTTAGGATTTTTTTTTGATTTTTGACTATATGGCTTTATTTTTTTTATAATTAACAATAACGTATTGAAATAACCATTCGAACAAATTAATAAAAAAATGGGATTAAAAAACAATATAGAAAGATCTTTAAATATTAGAAACAAGAATAAACAATATTTGAGGGTTAAAGCAAAATAACCATGGGTTACGTTCACAATTCAAATTTTTAGAGGAAAAGAAACCAAAGCCAAGCAAGTAATTATAAAATAAATTAACTTTAAAAAATTCAATTTGCGTTCAGACATCGCCAAAAAAAAAGTACTTAACACTTGAAGTGATCCAACAGAAATATAAAGAAATAAAAGAAACATTCGAACCCGTAGCCAAAAAAAAGGCAAAATAAAAAAAAAACTGTGAATTTATAAATGATTCTATTGAAAAAAAATAAATAAAATCTTTTCCATTAATTCTATAGTGTCACTTAAAAAAGATGTGTTCCTATAAGCAAAAAAATTAATTCGAAATTTATTGAAAAAAAAATCTTCGACGCCGGAAGCAATTTGAACCTGAACCTTAAAAGTAAAGATTTTAATATTCAAGAAGAAAGGGCGAATGATTTTTTTATTTCGGTATTACAGTATTTTTCACAAATAAATTTATTCTTTTTTGCATTTAATTTTAAAAATATTCTGTAAAAAATATAATCGATTAGAATTATTATTAATCGAAAGCTAAAATCGGAATCTTTAGAATCGAAACTCTAATTATTTCTAAAATTTTTTTTTTCTTTTTTTTTTTTTGAACAATTCCGATTCCCCATTTATACCTAAAAATAAGTGTAGTAATATGCGGCGACTTTAAAATTTAAAAAAGAACTGCAAAATTGCAAAGTAGTGATTATTAAGCTTTTTTTAGGTTGTGTTTTATAAAATTCGCTCTAAATATTCGATATATGTGAGGATTGCTAGGAAAATGGGGTTCTGAGAATTTTTTGACTAAAATTTGATTCTTATAGCATTTTAATCTAATGTTATCAAAATTAAAATGAATAAAAAATTAAAAAATTCTCAGAACCCATTTTCCTAGCACATCGGGTTTCGTTCCCGACGGACAAAAAAAAAACCTGTAAAATGTGAACTTGATCAGATCATTATTTCGTAATTTTTGTTACATATAAATTTCTAATATTGTATTGTATCTCTTGAAATTTGTAAAATCATTCGTAATATACATAGTTATGTATAGAAGGATTAGACTCATCGTGCATTATAATGCTGCTTATAAGTTTAGAGACTACTAAAAAAGCAAGGTAAAAATTATGGGCATAAATACAGGCAGTTAGGGCATTCCACGGTTCTTGTATCTATTAAATAAGTTTTAGTAGGGCTATACATACTTAACCTTACAAGATTTGAAGGTGAATGCGTTTATTGCACGTCTTAGTAGGATTTATGAATGTGAGTTTTTGATAAAGGTACGGCACTATTTTTTCGTACAAGACTTAAAATTTTTCGCAAAAAGTATTGTTTCTAAAATCAAATTTTCAACTGATTTATAAGAATAATAATTTGTTTTAAACAATTATTATTATCATATTTGACTATTTATTTTTATGTAATAATTTAATTAATTTAACAAACAACCGTTGCACCAAATTACTCTGGATCTATTATAAATAATTTCTATATTAATTTGAACATAGTACCATAGTAGAATCAGGTACGCCAAAATTTACATGGAGGAGGAATTCTCTATATTCGACCGTACCAATTATTTAACTCCTTATTATTCTATATTAAAATGAATTTTTTTTTTGAAATATAATCTAACGGGATCACTGCAAATTATTTGATCCTTTTACTTATATCAAACAAATTAATTCATAGACAGACTACTTAACAATTGATTATTATTAAGATTTATAATCAATAAAAGTTAGCAACTTTCGAGGCTCTATTTAGAAGCAACGGATTTAATTAAAATTTGTCGACAAATCGCTCGGGAAGTAGTTGGAGTAATAAAAAATCATTCAATCTCAAATTATGAGGCTGGGCAAAACCAATATGTAAAAATTGTAAGGTGAATATTTTGTGCTATTGTTTCGATGGTATTAGTTATATTTAGTTATCAATTTTTCTCTCGACAACTTAAATATTTGTAAAATTTATTTAGTAGTTAAATGTATGAATTCCAATCTTATTTATTTTATAATGTGGGACAAATAATTATAATTATAAAATTAATTAAAAGTATAAACCAAATTCTAACTATGACAGTAAATTTATGAGTTAAATCTTTTGATAAGAGTGACTAATTTTTATGATAATAGTTTGTTGAATAATTGCTTAAATAATGGAACAGAAGTTTTTAAATATTGAGGATAAATAAATGTTAAGGAATCGGGGAAATTTGGCAAGCTGGATATTTGGGTATTTTCGCAGTTAAGATACTTTAATGAGTTAGGTAACATTGGCACTATAGTTATCTGAGTACGTGAACAGTCAAGAATTTTTAATGAATTAGGTAAAGTAGGTAAGCTATTTAACTGCGTTCCATAGCAATAAAGTTCCGTTAAGGACTCTGGTAAGTTTGGTAAGTGAGTTATTTGAGTTTCATAGCAATAGAGTATTGTTATAGAATCAGGTAAATTTGGTAATTTAGTTAATTGAGTATTAGAGCAACCAAATTTTGTTAAGGAATTAGATAAAATTGATGTGCTAGTTATTTGTGTATTATGGCAATTGAGAATTTTTAAGGAATTGGGTAAAGTTGGTAAATTGGTTATTTGAGTATAGGAACAGTCAAGATAAGTTAAGGATGCAGACAAACTTGGTAAGCTAGTTATCGGAGTATTGTTGCATAAAAGTGATTTTAAGGTGTTTGGCAAATTTGGCAAGCAGATTATCCGAGTATTCTTGCAGCTTAGGTAAGTCAAGGAATTTGGTAAATTTGGCAATATAGTTATTTGTGTATCTATGCAATAAAGTTTTATTAAGGAATTGGGTAAGGTTGGTAAGCTTGTTATTTTAGTATAGGAACAGTCAAGATGAGTTAAAGAGTTAGGTAAAGTTGGTAAGCTTGTTATCAGATTATTATTACAGAAGAGAGTTTTCAAAGAGATAGGCATATTTGGCAAACATTTTGCTTGAGTATCAGAACAATTAAAGTGAGTTAAAGAGTTGGGTAATTCTGGTAAACTAATTATTTTATTTTCGTTGCAATAAAGTTCTATTAGTGAGTTAGGTAAAGTTGGTAAGCTAGTTATATTCGTATTAGAGCAATTAAGGATTGTTAGGGTGTTAGGTAAATGTGGTAAGCTAGTTATTCGTGTTTTAATACAATAAAGCTTTGATAATTTTCGATATCTTTTCAATCCTCCTGAGACATTTAATATTTCATCTTTATTTGTGTCTGTAATAGTCATACTGTCAATAGTATCATCATATGTTATCAATTCAAGATTTGTAATTCTTTCTTCCAATTCATTATTAATTGTTTGCTTGGCTTGGGTAATTTCTTCTCGTTCTTTAGCCTTTTTTTCTAAGTAATAAATAGTCGCTTGCTTGGATTTGGTTTCTTCTTCTTGTTCTTTAACCCTTTCTTCTAAAAGTTTGAATTGTGAACGTAACAGTTCGTTACTTTGCTCTAATTCTATAATTCTGCTTTTCAAGTCTTTTAGGAAGTTTCCTAGATCGTTTTTTAAAGTCATGAATAATTTATACTATTTTTTTAAAGGCTAATATTTTCTTTTAATCTAATTTACTCAAGCAAGTGAATGTAAAATTAGGGCAAACAAAACAGCAAACGTTTTTTCCGCTACCATAAAATTAAAAAATTTTCTTTCTATTTTTTTATGATCAGCAACATCAGCAACATCTGACAATCGACATATATTTTTGAAATTTTATATGAAATAATATGAACTATTTTTGTGCACAATCACATGATTTTCAAATTGATTTAAAATTTTTAAAATTTTTTGATTTCGATAAGATATTTGTTTGAAATATTTATTTTTTTAATAAAAATAACTTTCGAATATTTGAAAACAATTGAATTTCATACGGAACCCCCTGATTAGAAATTTTATATTATTTTAGTCTTCTATTAAGTCTATATACTTGACTTGACCAGAGTTTTTAATTTTAGAAAATTGATCGACATTATAATTAGTTATGGATTTGCGGATCGTCAATACTTTTTACATTATTTTTGAAACGGTGAATGTATAAATTCCGAATATTATTTAAATAGTAAATCTCAACATTTATGATATATAAATATAAATAAAAATTATAAAAACAGGAAGCATATTAAAAATAGTATTATTAGGTATATGCAATAATCTAGTTCTAACATAGTTTATGAATCAGATCAGGTTTTTGGTGTCAGAATCTTCACTGTTGCATTAAATGGGATTTAGGTTTAATTAGGCCCAGTTCCAGAACCATTCCAGAATAGATATCGCCAATGATTGTCTTGTATTTTTAATTTCTGCATATAAAGTTCCGGAAAACATTAAAATTTTTGGTTGGCAATTTTAGTTGTAGTTTTTCAAAGGAAGTAGTTCTTTTTTTGATGCTTGACCAAGGGAATCTTATACAATAAAAGGAATAAGAAAATAAAATTTCGAAACATGTTATTATTTCTTTGCAAAGGTATTTAAATTTACTCAAAAAGTCACGCTTTTTACGAACATATTTATAATTATTTAATCGACGCACGATCGAACCCTACTGAAAAAATTCAAAAATTTATATTCGGTTAATTACTTATTTTTCACAAACTATTCTTAAACCTCAATGAACATGAGTTAGTTGTTAATGTACCACAAATAACCTAGTACCAGGACATTTTATTATTTATACTCTGCTATGATAACTGCTAATAGCGTATATACCTTATATGCTTCAAGGACTTAAACTTTTTTGAACTAAAATTAAATCTGCTAATCCATTATAAATTATGACAAATTCTGGATAGCTGACTTTTCAAGAAGCTTTGTTTCATCAATATTGGAAATATTTCCATGTCATTACTTTACACATTTTTGCTATAAATTTTGTATATAAATTATTGATTGCCTACAGCAACTTGAAATTGACATAAAAGGCTACAAGGAGCAGAGAAAGAAAATTTAATAAGCAAGACATATTTTTCTAATAATATAATGCCGTTTCAATTGCAGTAATATAGAAATAACTCTCTTTGTTAATTCATACTTTTAATTCGCAAAATATCTTCTTTTCTTGAATCATTGGAGAAATTAGTTTACAATTCTTTTTTTGTTAGAAAAATTGAACGTTGTGTTCAAAATTTAGTGAAAAAAAATTGCATGTTTTTCTACAAAAATAGAGCAGAAGTTTTTTACATAACTGGAAATGCAATTAAGCAATTAAAATAGTCTTGTTTCTTTAAAGCTTGATTTATATGAAATATTCTCATTTGAAGAAAATGCTTATTAAAGTGCTTTAGATATATAACATCGTTTGAAACTACTATAAGAAAAAAGATTTGATGTTAATTTATTTTTTAAAAAAAATATATAATAAGGAAAGATCAAACTTGAACATTAGTTATACAGAGGTTACATAATGGGTTTTAATAAACAAAGGTGATTTGAAATTAAAATATTTGTCTTGCAAAAATGCTGGATAGATGAACTGTGTAAATTTGGCAAACTATTTACTTATATATACAGTTTTTAAAGAGTAGTTGTAGGCTAGTTATTAGAGTACCATTACAAGTTCCGTTAAGGAGTGGGTAAAGTTGATAAGCTGGTTATCTGAGTAAAATTACAGTCAAGTACTTGTAATCTAATCGTTGTAATCATCCTTAAGGAGTTTAAGATATCCTTATTAAGTTCTGAATCTACAACCTATCAATCGAGAATAATAGAATCATTTGATCCCAATTCTATTTCATTAATAAATCATAATTAGTAAGTTGTGCTAATGTTTCATTATTCGATTCTAAATCTTTCACATTCATCTGATTAAAATGTTGAATCATTTGAAATAATTCTCCATGTAAGAAATATTATTAATACTTGAATAAGTAAATTGTTCTGAAAATTGAAGGTTTCATTCTTCTTTATTATTTATTTGATAATTTTCTATTATATTTGTTTTTGTATTAATTGCATTTAATTCATCAACAATATTATTGTACATAGCCGGACGATTGTCTGGTTCCTGTCCCAGAAATCTAAAATCATATAAACAATTTAATAATCGAAAATATTTTAAATTAATTTATAATTATATATTTACCTGAATAAACTTTTACATGTTTTTTAGGCGTATCAAGAATGATACTTTCTCTAAGTGCTTATAAATTTTCTAATGCCAATGTCATATTCTTCATCTTCAACATAAAAAGAATATCGACACGAATCTTCGTAGCGTAGCGCTAAGGGTAAAAATTCATTTATGTATGACATCATGAGTAAATCTGTTGAACTATTTAAGTTAATCCAAAAAAGAATGCGATGTAATATCTTTCCACAATCATTTTTAACGCTTCAAGTAAGATTCACTTTGTTCAGTAATCGTAGCTCATTTATTAAAAAAAAATTATTCTTGAAGCTCATATAATACGAACAACTACATGTTATGAAATATAATAAATTCTACTACCATTAATCAATGGGAATTTTTAAAAGCTATTTTTATTTTTCAAAAGGTTAGTTTTTATTTAAAACATTTAGGATTAAATTTTTTGGAAAGAAAAAAAGCGTCATTAACTATTGTGATAAAATAAAATTTCCAAGCGTTAATTGCTTCGATAAAGAGGATGGACCTCAATAAATTAATTTGATTATTCATAATAACCACATTAAATACCTTACCATTGAAAATGAATATATGCATTGTTCTGGTAATTCTAAATTATTAGGTAAAGTTCGACCTAATCCCTTTAAATACTTTAATATTTAAATATAAAATTTGGTAAATGTTTCCATTAAATTGAAAAGTTTTTAACATAACGTTAAAAAATAATTGCTGGCTAATGAGATCATTTTAAATCCTTTGAATTGTTTGTTGATAAAATGTGAATAAAAGATCTTGCATATTAAATCATTGAAATTTTTTAAAATTCATCAAAAATTAGAAAAAATTGTTAATAAGATTCATCCTTTTGTAAACTCAACACATATATCATTTACACTGCCTATATTATTGAATTATTTTATTTTGCAAGTACGACCCTATAGTATCTGCAAGTTTACAAGAAAGATTTTGAATGTTAATTTTACGTTATTTATGTTTTTTTGCAAAAATTATTTATACTTTTTAGAAAATCCGGAATTTATCGATTTAGAAATAGTCTTGGATGATTAATGACGTTTACTTTTACAATTTATTTTTAATTATTTTCTTAAAATAAAATTATCGTATTATTAAACTATTATTTAATCGATGAACCACCCAAAAAGAGGAGCTTAACGAATTTTTTATTTTGGGATAGTTTATCAGAATTTATATTCCATGATATTCTTATCCTTATTTTGTTAATATAGTTTCTTTTACAAGAAATAACCATGATCATAGAAATTATTTTAGTAAATGAATAAAAAAAATTATTTTGCCAATCGTTCAGTGAAAAAAATCACGATCATTATTCCAGATTTTTTTTACTTACAAAAAAAATACGCTTGCCTATTAAGGTAACGACGCAACGATCGAACCCAAAAATGAAATAAATTCATATTTATTAATATCCGCATTTTTTACAAGATTACAAAGATATCGAAAATTACAAGTAGTTTTACTTAGATAACTAGCTTACCAACTTTACTAACCTCCTTAACAAATCTTTATTGTTAATAACCAGCTTACTAACTCGGAAATCTATTGTAATGATACACCCTACTAACTTTACCCAACTCTTTAAAAACCCTCCGGCAGTGTTGTCATGGGACGCGGAAACAGACATGGACCAGACCGGACCGGACTGTCTGTGTCCATGTCCGAGATTTCATTATGTCCGGGACCTTTTGTCCCATTAATGATGGCCATATCACATGTTAATTCTGGACAAAAGATATCTAATATCGGTCCATGTCCCAACTGTCCTGCGGAAACAGTTCCGTACTCTGGTGGTGTTTATATATATAAGTAAAATGTTTGCCAAATTTACATAATTCCTTGACGGACATCAATCCAGCATTTTTGCAAAACCAATATTTCAATATCAAATCATCTTAGCTTATTAAAATTCATTTTGTAACCTCCGTATAAGAAATAAATATCTTATAAATCAATCTTCTTTTCTTGTAAAATCTTTAAATTGGCATTGTAAATCAACAGCAATATATACTTATAAATATAATATTTTTTTTTTAAAAAATGTTTAAATAAGGAAAGAATATTATAAATAAAAAATTTAAATCATATAAGTTATTGTGCTTTGCAACGATTAATATCAAAATTATTGTCAATTGTGATGATGATCGTTGCAAAGCACAATAACGATATTATCGTTTGATTTTATGATGTTGACTTAAACATCTAATAATATTTGAAGCAGGTATGTTAATATTTCATTTATTTTAGAATTTA